TGTGTTTGGGCCGACTCTTTTGAACCCATTTCCCTATTTAATTTGTTGCTGAAGCTTTGTCCGTAACAGGCATGTTTTAAAAAAATCTGAAGCCCCTTTTAGCCTTAATTAATTAAGTTTTTCTTAAATTGAGGTGTGCCATATTAGATAACACAAATAGCTTATGGCCCTCATAATCTTAAATAAGAAGTCTTTTAAACAATTAGATTTGAGGCGCGCCATATTAGGTAAGATATAGTTTATGGCCCTCAAAAGCTTAGTTTGAGCTTCCTTTAAAATTGGAATCGAGGTGTGCCATGCCAAATAAAATCTCAAAACTCATGGCCCTCACTTAATTAATTTTAACCCTTTAAAAATCGAGGTGTGCCATTTAATTGAATTTTCCGTGGCCCTCACAAACTTGAAAGTGCGTAGTTGCTTTAGGCGCGTAGTTTAAATTAATTTCCTTAAACTCGGGTGTGCATTTCATGTGACCCAAATCCAAATCTCAACAATGTTAGATAAAATGTGTTGTGGACCGCGGGTGCATTTCATGTAAAATTTCAAGACGTGTTTTAGATAACGTTGAATCTTCCTAAAAAATAATTAAAAAGCGGTCTAATAAGTTAAAAATATACCATAGGCTAAAACATATATTAAAATCAGATAATAGGCCAATTATAATAGTTTAAGCGACCGTGCTAGAACCACGGAATCCGGGGATGCCTAACACCTTCCCCCGGGTTAACAGAATTCCTTATTCAGAATTTCTGGTTCGCAGACTTCAAAAGGAAAGTCGAAATTTCCTCGATTTGGGATTCAAATAAACCGATGACTTGGGACACCAAATAAACTATCCCAAGTGGCGACTCTGATAAATAAATAATCTCATTTCGAATAATGTCACTTAAATTGGAAAAACTCCCTTTATATACCTTTCGGGGTGTGTAAAAAAAGGAGGTGTGACAGCTCTGACGACTCTGCTGGGGAAACAAACCCAGAACTTCGGTTCAGGGTTTAAGAATTCGAGCTTAGAATAACTGTTATAGTTGGCTTGTTTTATCTGATTTTTTCATGTTGAGCCTAATGTGCTAAATGTCGCTTTTACCGCTTTAATATTGTTTGGATTGTATATAAGTTGCTGCGAAACCCTTTCTCTCTGAGTCTTCTAAATCATCTGGGAAGTGTGCACTTTGTGTAACTTCTTTTCTGTTAGAGTCTTATCCCAATTTTAGAACGAGGTTCGGACAAGTTGCAAAGCCGGTGAAGCTTCTGTATTCCCGGTACGCTGCCCCCCCTTGGCTCGAGCTGTCCGCTCGGGTAAGCCAGGTCTAGAACAATACACGCAGGGTTTTAAACCTAGTATAACAAAACCTCATGCCGGATCCCTAGTAGGAACGCTTGTGTGCATCACGTGCATTTGACTTAGGGGACTCAACACAGGGGTTGGGTCCGTCTAGGACAGTTGTACCCGAAATGAAAAGACCATCCTGATGCATTTCTACTTGCTACTTGTGCATTTATTTGCTTCGGATTTGCATGTTGACCGGCTTATGAATAATAGGAGAAAAGTTGGGAAAAAGAAAAATCAATTGGAGGGCTAGAGAGATAATTACCTGTTCTTAAAAACCCGATGTCCAAAAAATACCGAAACTCTGCCAAAATTTTGAAAAAAGAAAAAAAAAAGTTTGTTTGTTTTTTTTTTTTAAAAAATGATGAAAAAAAGAAAGAAAATATTTAGTATTGTTTTTATTATGTCAAATCTGCCCGAACTACACAAGTTTGATTCTCACCGGATGTGGGATACGTAGGCAACCCCCATCGGGTCCAACTTCATTTTTTAAAAAATAACCCAAAAAGAACAAAATTTTAGTATTTTGCCATAAATAAGTAAGGTGATGCTATTCTTGTCTAAAATAGCCAAATGTACCTAAAAGGACGCCAGAAGGCTATTTTTGCAAGAACAGCCACCTATGGTCTCTTTTTCAAATTTTTGGTTGGTTAGCAAACACAACCCTAAAATCTTATTTCCCAAAGTGCTGAAGGGCCGTATTTGCAAAGCCGGGTTTTTATTCTTGAAAGGAAAATTTTGGAAAAAAAAATTTGATAGCTTTTTCTTGAGTCAAATGAATCATGATTCTTTAAACTAAATCACCCTAATAAATGTACAGGATGAGCACAATTGAAAATGAACCCTTCGCAACTCTTGATGAAATCCCCTTACAGCTCCATATGTGGTGGAACGACTTACGAAAAGTCAGTAGAGGGACTGTGTTAAAAGTTTTGGGTGGTCTCGTGGGACTTCTGAAAATTAAGCCAAGGTTGGATGTGATTGAAGCCTTGATACCTTTCTGGGACCCGACTCACAATGTGTTTCACTTTTCTGATTTTGAGCTCACTCCCACACTGGAGGAAATTGTGGGATATGCCGGCCTTAGTGGGAACCTCAGAAGTCGGTACCCGGTATCGCCAAGAACAGTGTCTGCTCACAAGTTTCTAGATCTGTTGAGCATCAGTCGGGAGGTTCAGGATAGGAATTTATCTGAAGGGTTTTGCACTTTCTAATTCTTGTACCAGCGCTATGGCAATCCTCACGGTTTTGAAGCACCTGATACTGGTCTGACCCATGCGGGAAACAAAGATAAATGGGAGGCACGGCGGGGTTTGGCCTTTATAGTAGCATTCTTGGGTGTCATAATCTGTCCGAAAAAAGACGGCAACATAGAATTAGGTCTCGTGGGAATGGTTGATGTCATGATTAAGAAAGCTAATAGCACTCTTATTTCAATGATCTTAGCTGAGATTTACCGAGCCTTAACCATCTACCGAGAAAGGGGAAGATTTTCCAGGGTTGTAACCTGCTACTGCAACTGTGGATACAAGAACATCTTTATCACCGTATCGGGTATATGAACTACGGCATGACTGGTCTGAATTGCATCGAAGAGTATGAAAACCGAGTGGCGGGTGTTGAATTTCCAAAAGGTACAGCGGCTTGGTATGCGCACTTGAGTTCCTTAACTTCGGACAAAATTGAGTGGACTTTTGGATGGCTCCCTGTCACTGAAGTCATCTACATGTCAACCGAAGTATTCTATCTTCTCCTGATGGGTCTCCGGAGCATTCAACCATATGCTCCTTACAGGGTGTTGCGCCAACTGGGCAGATTTCAAACTATTCCCCATGACGAAGATCTAAGCCGACAAGTCGTCGAATTGGGTCCAAAAGTTGTATTCCCAGAAGGAAAAGTTCGTAAAATTTGGAATGAGTGCAGATTTTTGGAACCTAAGACTCTGGTGCGGGATCTACCTAAAGGTGAGGTAGACCCTAATTACATGACTTAGTTTGGTAAAAGGTTTCAAATCCCTCGAGAGCCCGAAAGGCCTGCTAAAAGGCCCCACGTCTAGCAATTTACTGACGACTCACGGGAGCAACATGACTGGTTGATGAAAGAGGCAAGCTATAGGGCCAAGATAAGTAAACTAGAGGGACAAATCAGGGACCTCAAATTTGACAATGGTGTCCAAGCTGCTGTCGATGAAGGGGAAAAGAAGAAGCTGGTTCAGGAAAACGAAGCCCTTAAGGCTCAGATCCAAAAGATGAAAATAGCTACTAGAAATCAGGAAAGAGGCTGAGCAGATGAAAGGCTTATAAGTGGTCTTAAAAAGAAAGTTATTGAGTGTCAAGATGACTTAGAAAAATCTGAGGCTAGTCTAGCAAAAGCCCGAGCACAGCTAACAAAGAATGCAGAAGGACGGGCGGAGTATGTACGGCAGATGAAAATAAAATATGAGGGGACAATCACCAATCTGAAGAGAAAGCTAACTACCCTTGAAAATGAGGCGGCCAAACAGGCTAGGAACTTTAAAGCCGAAAGGGAACATTACTATGCTTTGATGGCCCAGATGGAGGAAGATATGCAATAGTTGCAAAATCAAAACCATCATGACACTCAGGTGCTAGAAGCTCGGACTCAGCAAATCGGGCGTTTGCTCCAAGAAAAAGGTGTCATCCGAGAGAGGGTTAGAGCCATTACCGACTACATCGTCGTGAAGTGTCAGGAATGTGAAGACATGACTAGAACCACTTTCTTTGCTGCGGTTATGACATTTATTTGCCAAATAATGAGTGATCTGGAGCATCTTCAAGGGGATCTTGCATGGAGGCCCGTGGCAAGACCGAATGATGTCCCACGGGCCCCAGGAGTCGAAGCACTTATGTATTCATGATTTTCAATTATCGAGTATGTACTTCAGTTGTTGTTTTGAGTCTGTTTGTAGTTGTTAAAATTCCAAAAATGAGTATGTTAGAGTCTTTTGTAATAGAAAAATTTAGGAGTTTTATTAATGGAAATTCGAAATTCCCAAAAATTGTTTCCTTATTTTTCATATTTTTCTTGAACTACGTAATGATCTGATTCACGTGGCGTCGTGATATGTAGGCAATCCTCATCGGATCCGGTCATGATTTTGTAAATAACTCAAATAAAAGAGAAATATGGAAGGAAAGAACCAAAAGAAAAACCAAAAAGAGAGAAAAAGAGAGTCAAAGAAAAACCCAAAAGAAAAATGAAAAAAAAGGGGGGCAGAGCAAGAAAAGAGAGGGAAGAAAAGAGAGGAAAATAGAAATAAGAGGAGAAGCATTAAAGAGCCAAAGTGGAAAGAAAGAAAATTGGAGAAATAAGCGAAAGCCGGGATGAAACATGCAACCGTTGCAAAACATGTAGAAACACATTTAACTGTATAGGTGCATCACACCCAAACGTGCGATTCCCTATGTGTTAATTGTCTCGCACTAACCGGTTTGTTGTGTTTGTATCCTAGTCAGGCTCTATAGTAAGGTGGTTGGTTTTGTGGTACTCTGGCTTCACATCCTTACTTCACAAGGTCAAAGGGAAGCGTTGAAATGTCATCTGAGGGTCATCTACCAACGGTTCCTATCCCCGAGGATAGTCCGATTTCGGCCATCCCAACTTCGAATTGGCCGCTGCAGAGGAAAATAGAATTCTGCGTCTCCGCATGATGGAAATGTGGGACGCCCGGTCTAATGGTAAGGAACCACCAAGTGTAATCCCTGGATTCCCCGAGCTACTTCCCAGGGCAAGTGGCACCTCCAACGTCCCTATAAGTTACCCGAATACTCCGCTTGGATATCCTACCATTTCGGCTCACTTTGGTGGAACACCTTCTAAGGTTCGCCCTCAGGTGTTGATGTCAGGCACATCCTCCAATATATTCACTGCGCCACCTTCTGCAGCCACGACACAACCCACCCTGCTAAGGCCAAACTTTGACCCGTCATCCTTCACCTTTCAAGTACCATCTTTCCCACTGGAACCTACCCAGTTCACCACTAATTCCTACCCTCAGCAACCCAGGTACGAGTTTACCGCGGGACACGAGAAAACCTCAAAGAACCTTGAACAAGAGGAGATTTCTCAAAAAATGAGAAGTATGGAGCAGAGTCTGAAAAATATACAAGGTTTGAGCGGGCAAAAGAGCGTATCTTACGCTGACCTGTGTATGTTCCCACATGTGCATCTACCCTTGGGTTTCAAAACCCCAAAGTTTGAAAGTATGATGGGCATGGGGATCCCATAGCCCACCTCAAAAGGTATTGCAACCAATTACGGGGAGCAGGTGGAAAAGAAGATCTCCTTATGGTTTATTTTGGAGAAAGTTTGGTCGGTATTTCTTCTGAATGGTACATGGACCAGGATATATCTCGGTGGCATATCTGGGACGACCTGGCTCGGGATTTTGTGAGGCAGTTTCAATATAACATCGACATTGCCCCTGACAGGAACTCATTGTCAAATCTAAAGAAAAAGTCCTCGGAAAGCTTCCGAGAGTATGCTGTCAAATGGCGCGAGCAAGCCGCCAGAGTTAAGCCTCTAATGGATGAAACAGAGATGGTCAGTGTCTTTCTTCAAGCCCAAGAGGCCGATTATTTTCAGAATATGATGTCTGCGATGGGAAAACCATTTGCCGAGGCCATCAAAATTGGCGAAATGGTTGAGAATGGGTTAAAGACAGGGCGCATCCTGAGTCAGTCTGCTATAAGGGCTACCTCCCAAGCCATTCAAGGCGAGTCTGGAGGTATAGCAAACCGGAAGAAGAAGGAAGAAGCTTCAATGGCAACTTCAAGTGTAAGAAAACCCCGTCCATCCAGAAATTACTTCTCCACAAACACCCCACAATATTATTATCCCCATCAAGATGCAGCCTATGCTATGGCTCCTCAGCCGTATGCAGTAATGAATGCCCAACCATATGCTAGGCCACAATAACAATTCCACCAAAACCGAGCTCCATTTCCCAAAAATCAACCTCCTCACCAAGATCAGTATAATCCCCGACCTCCACAGAACAACTTCCGTGCCCGGGAACCACCCAAGATGCCAAACTTCACACCCATTGGTGAGTCATATTCCATCCTTTTCCCCAAACTTGTCCAGATGGGTTTGTTGCAGCCTGTACCCTAAACAGGCAGAACCCAGCGTCGCCCGCTTACAAGCCGGTACTCGATGTGCTTACCACTCAGGGGCGGAAGGGCATGATACAGATGACTGTTGGACCCTGAAGAGGGCTGTGGAAAACCTCATAGAACAAAATCGAATAGTGCTAAATGATGAAGATGTTCCTAATGTAACCAACAATCCATTACCGACTCACAACAATGGGCCGGTTATTGGAATGATCGATAGGAGTTTGACCCAGCTCTAAAAGCCATAATTGCCATAGCCGATGTGAAAAGAAACCAAAAGCTACCGCAAAACAAGACAAAGCGGAGAAAAAGAATAAACAACCCCTCGGAATACAGAAAATAAAGGGAAACCAAAATAGGGGCAGCGCCCTCAAAAGATGTCGTCCTCTATGTTCCCCGAGGCCGAAAGAAAGAACAGATGTCATTGAGCCCTCCAAGAAGGTTTAAGCTAAACAAGGGAGCCAAAATGTATGTGCCCAAAGGGACCTACGTGGTGCGGGGGCCAGTAATTTCACCAAGGCTGAATGAGCCCGTGGTTATTGGCCGCGCACCGCAAAGGCCCATGACAGATCCCACTGCCGTCCCATGGAATTACAACAAGGCAGTAGTGACCTACAGAGGAAAATAAGTCTTGGGAGAAGCAAAGGAAAATAACTCGGCTGAGAAATACCTCAATCTGGACGAAGTGAATAATGCCACGAAGAAGCGTTTCCCACTCAAAAAGCTAGTGAGTGCTGAAGAAGCAGAGGAGTTCTTCCGAAAAATGAAAATGGCGGACTACGAGATAATTGACCAGCTCCGAAAGTCTCCTGTTCAGGTCTCTTTGTTGTCTCTGCTAATGAATTCAACTGAACATCAGAATGTATTGATCAAAACCCTCAGTGAAGCATATGTACCCATTGAAACCACTGTGGAACAGTTGGAGAGGATGGCGGAGAGGTTTTTTGAAATCAATCAGATTCTTTCAGCAAGAATGATTTGCCCCCGGAAGGGGCCGCCCACAACAAAGCCCTGCATCTGACAGTTAAAAGCGAGGGATATTATGTGAAAAGGGTCATGCTAGATGGTGGTTCTGGGGTAGATATTTGCCCTCTCTCAACTCTGCAACGAATGAAGATCGGTACTGAGAGAATTAGGCCCAACAACATTTGTGTGCATGCCTTTGATGGCATCAAGAGAGATACTATTGGTGAAATTGATCTGATCTTGACTATTGGCCCGGTGGATTTCGAGGTGACCTTTCAGGTCCTGGATATGGATACTTCCTATAATTTCCTCTTGGGAAGACCTTGGATTCACGCAGCAGGAGCTGTACCTTCCACTCTCCACCAGACGGTGAAATTCGAACATGAAGATCAAGAGATTGTAGTCCATGGAGAGGATGAGCAGTCGATTTACCGGGACCCATTAGTCCCATGTCTCGAAGCCAGAGAAGGTAGTGAGCATATAGTTTATCAAGCTTTTGAAGTGGTGGTCGCAGACCAATCTGAAGAAGGAAACCCTTGTTCTCNAGGCGACGGTGAGAAGAGAAATGAGAAAGGTCGATTGGCGAAAACCCGCAAAGGGCACCGTTGATCGAAAAGAAGAAACCCCTCACCACCATCGACATTGAAAGAGTCCCGGCAAGGTTTCTCTGGTTTAAAACGCGGGTCGCAACGGGTTTATGAGAAGTGGGATAGTTGTGCAGATCGGGTATCCAGTCCAAGAAGCATGTCATGTCTATTGAAGTCTGCATGCACTCCAGATAAGTCCTTCTTTCCTCCCCGAAAGGGACACTTCTCCTTAAATTCACTTTCTTGTCCTTTGTTTGCTTTCCTTTGAATCCCTTTCGGTCTAACTCTGTTCCGAAACTAATACAAAGAAAAGGTGGCAAGATTGGTTTTTTTTTACAGGTCTCTGCTTAATAAAAGCCAAGTCCAAAAAAAAAGTACCCAGCCTCAGCGGGTGCATCAAGTCGATCCCGACTGGCCATGATGGCCGATGCTTTGAAATCAAGTTATTGAAAATAAAAAGAAATCCAAAGTCAAAAGCCCCTAGAGGCAGAATAAGGTGAAAGGGCCAAAGCCCCACACGGGTGAACCGTCATGTGAAATTTTGGAAAGTTGAGTTCCTCGGTTTTAGGAGAGAGATTAACCTTCAGAAAAGCAAGCAAGCAGTAGAGGTTCTCACCAAAAGAGTTGGGCCGAGATCAAGTGATCAAAAATAAAAAAGGCCACAAAACCAACCACCGTTTCAAATTAACAATTGTTCTTTGTTTGAAATTTTTGAAACAGGTGCAATCCAAAGCAACCGTGCAAGAAGCGGGTGCAACCAAAAAGGAAAAAGAAATGCGCAAGTGCTAGAAACAGCTTTGCAGCAACAATCCATAAAAAGGGAAGTCCCCTCCAAGTTTTTTTTCCCGCATTTACTCATTCCATGAAACAAAAAAAAGAAAAAAAGAAAACAAAATGAAAAAAAAAAAGAGAAAAAAAAAAGAGATAAGAAAAAAAAATGGTAGCTTAGGACCCCAATATCTATTTTTACGCTTTTCCAACATAGGGCTCCAATCCCTAGTTGAGATTTTTTAGACATAGGGCATCCATTCCCTAGTCGCCTTTTGCCAACATAGGGCTCCAATCCCTAGTTGAGATTTTTAGACATAGGGCCTCCATTCCCTAGTCGCCTTTTGCCAACATAGGGCTCCAATCCCTAGTTGAGATTTTTAGACATAGGGCCTCCATTCCCTAGTCGCCTTTTTTTTGCCAACATAGGGCTCCAATCCCTAGTTGAAATTTTTAGATATAGGGCCTCCATTCCCTTGCCAACATAGGGCTCCAATCCCTAGTTGAGATTTTTAGACATAGGGCCTCCATTCCCTAGTCGCCAATTTTTTGCCAACATAGGCCTCCAATCCCTAGTTGAGATTTTTAGACATAGGGCCTCCATTACCTAGTCGCCTTTTGCCAACATAGGGCTCCAATCCCTAGTTGAGATTTTAGACGTAGGGCCTCCGTTCCCTAGTCGCCCTTCCTCCTAAAAACACAATACTTATTTTATCGCTTTCAGAAAAAAATAGTTTAGATCCTGGTTACAAATAACTCACGAAATTTTCCTAGTGAAAACTGGGGTAGAAAAATTTTGTTCGTTTGTTTGTTTTGGTGTCTGAGCAGGTTTGACCTCGAGGCACAAGGTTCGAGATGACCAAAAGAATGAGTCTCAATCCAAAATAAAGAAAAGAAGAGAAAAGAACAAAAAGAAGTGAACTCAGAGTGCTGAAGCGGAGAAAGACGCGGACTGCCCAAGATATGATTGAAATCACAGGCCTCGCATGTCCCGCCTTGATCCAAAGCTGAAGAATGAACTAGCGGTTACAGCTGACGAGCATCAAGATTCGGATTGGAGTCTGCAGCAAGAACTAGCCAAGACTCAAGATCAAGCTTCAAGAGATTTATAGATAGGAATCTTGTAACTCGTAGCTGATAGGCTTAGTTAGTTTAGCTTTTTATTTTTCATTTTGGTGTAATAAGGAGTTCAACAAGCAGTAGCAACAGCAGCAACAGTGAAATCACAGCTTCCCGGTAGTCCCAGCTACCAAACCTTCCAGAACTACACTGACCTGATTCCTTTATAGCCAAGGATATGTAGGCAACCTCTGAAGCAAGGTTCGGTCAGGCTTTTTCAAAAATGCTTCTCATGGAGTTTCAAACGGGCAAAAATCCCTCATAATTGCTCATTTTATCTTTGCCCGAAAACCCTTCGTGTCTCCGAGCAAAGAGGGGAAGCTGTGAGCACGTGATTTTTGCCTCACATGAATTACTCCTACAGTATTCCAAAAATTAGATTTTTTGTTTTAATTATTTGTTATTTTAGGGATTATTATAGAATTTTTGCTGATTGTTTGCCTTTTTGTGTGCATGTTTAATTTTATTTAATTCATGAAAAATACAAAAATACATTGCATTTGCATTTAGGACTTAATTTTATATTTTTAGATTAATTAGTAAATTAGTTTGTTTTATAAAAATGGAAAAAATATCACAAAAAATAACTCATTTTTGCATTTTTATTTTTAGTTTCGAATCTTGTAGTTTTCTTTTAATTTGATAATTAATTAGTTGTTGTAAATATTATTTTTGAGTAATTAATCTAATTTGGTAGGATAATTTAGTTTAGGAATTAATTTAGGTTTTATTTTAATTTGGAAAAAGAAAAAGAAAGTTTGAAATTGAAAAAAGAAAAGAAAGGAAATAAAAGAGTCTGAATTTTGGGCTTTAAATTAAAATTCCAAGGCCCAAACTTTTTTTTGCTAAATACCCGGTCGAATTTGGCCCAATTTATGCCCTTTTACCCGGTCCGCCCCAGCTTGACCAAAACGACCCCGTTTCGATTCCCCCAATCAGGGCCGTTGATCTCGTTTGATCAGACGGCCAAGAATTGAGTCCCCAAACACATATAAATGTCCTAAAGGCCCGACCCCCCCCCCCCCTTCTCCATCTCTCACTTCGTCTTCTCCTCTTCATAGACTAACCTAAACCCTAGCGCCGCCCCAATTCTCCACCATCTCTGGCCGGCGGCGCCACCTCCAATTCGTCCCAAATCGATACCACAACACCCCCATGACTTCTCCTCTCGAAATCCCTAACTATTTTGCCCCAAATCCTTCCGGAACCTTTCGAATCTTAAATCGAAGTTCCAAACCCTAAAATCTTAAACTCCCAAGTCGGCGAGTTCAGTAAAGGATTGAGGCTGAAATCGACTTTATTCGTGTGTTTTCATTGAGAATACACGATTAATATCCATTTCGGTCAAAATCAAGGATTCCAGGAGTCGTTCAAGCTTTTGTCTGCCGGTGTTTAGGTATCGCAGTATCCTCTTTCTTTCATTTTCTTTTCATTTTTTACTTCTCATCTTCATCTCTTTCTGCCTCCTCTTTTTCTTGTTCTTTATTGTGTTTTTATTTTTTATCCGCATTTTTGCATGATTAGATTAGTAGCAATTTTAGTTGTTCTATTTTTGGTTTTTTAATTGGTCCCTTTTGCTGTCGTATTTGTTTTTGTTTCATTTTCAAAGGATTTCTGATTTTTCTTTTGGGCTGATTCCGGCTAGTTCATTAATTTTTAGGAGTTTGAATATTGAATTGAATTGGGTTTTGATTGAATCAAAAGCCCAAAGAAAAGGGATTCAATCCGGGTGATAAGCCCATTGGCTTGGGGCTGAACCTTGGGTCAATTGACCCGTTTGGTTTACTGAAGTAAATAGC